CCTGTGCCCGCCCCGGTCTCGGGGGAGCCGGTCCAAACTCCTAGCCCTCCGCACCGGATCATTATCAGGCTTCCGGGCCGGTGCTGTCTCGAGGTGGCTCGGCCGGGAGAAGGGGTGCTTCACAGGCCAGCTGTTCTCCACAAGGCCAGAAACTGTCGCCCCGCCTGAACCTCAGACCCCACAGGCGAGGGGAGCCTCGAAAAGGGGCGCACCCCCGGCCCCGACTCCGCTGCTCGTGCCCCCAGCAGCCGGCCCGGGCTCGGGCCAGGCGGGCCGGGAGCCGGGCTGGGGCAGCCGCAGCGCATACAGGCCCTGCTCGGGGCTGCCGGGAGCAGAGCGAGGGGAGGAGCGGGGCCGGGACACGGGGGCAGAGGGAGAGCCGGCAGGACCGGCACAGCTGCGACTGGGAGCCTAGGCAGACAGCTGTGAAGCATTTTGTGGGACCAGAGACTAGTTTGAAGCTTCCCCCCTCCCCAGCTGTAGGAGGGTTTGGGGCTTTTGAAGTGCGGGTATGGTGGCTTGATATTCCCTTCCCATGATCTGGTGCCTGTTCTTGGAGAGTTTAATCCATGTCACTGCTTATTACCTAGACTCTCAGTGTATGTACCTTCGTGTTATTTACTAGTGCCTGTCCCTTTCCCCTGAGCCCACTGGCTTGTGACCCTAACCCTCAGCATCCCCTGCATAAATGTAGGGATGTCACGTTTCAGCTCCCTGTGCCATTTGCAGAGTTTGACTGACACTACCCCACTGACCCCTCTACACTGCCATACTGAGAGAGCTGGCAAAGTTTATTACTTGATAGACTGCTTTAGGACCCCAAACCACACTTTAACAGGAGTTCTCCTCAGCCAACTTCAGGCTACAACTGAAAGAGGTTCAGGAGTAGTTATATTTAAAAAAGGGCATTCAAAAGTGTCATTGTTTCAACAATGCAGCAGAATAATGAGAGACGTCAGAATACAGTTTTGGTAGTGTTCTTAGTACAGCAGTGATCATCTCTTCCTATTTCAGTTCTTCACGTTGTGACTTTTTTATTAGGGATAGATGATACGAAGTAGTTACTTCAGCAAGGTCTTGAAGTAGTCCAAGATTTGTTTCGCAGTAGCTGTGTTCCAGTTTTGCCCTTTTAAAGGGCCCTCGCATACAGCAACATATGTCATTAGGATTTTTTCTCCTTGCTCTCGGAAATCCAGCACTGCACTGTGGGAGCAGTAAGGTGATTCACTATTAGATTCCAGATTTGTTTTGTGGCTTTCTTGCTTCCCTTCTTCACAATACTTCAGGCCCCAATAACACATTTCTCCACTGTACATCATGGCTAGCAAATGGGTATCGCTAAATATACCTGCAAAAAGAATTGAGATTTTGAACAACATGCTGTTTACTACTAGCAAAATTAGTACGTTTCAACAACAGGCCACAAGAATTTTCTCCAAAACATAATATCATTCTTTCTATATAACCCTGTGTAAAATGAAGAGGGAGTGGTGAAGTAATTTGCCCTACCTAGATCATCCATTAGGCCAGCGTTTCCCATTTTTAGGTGCGTGCGCTGTGGGATGAAAAAGGTTGGGAAACGCTGCATTAGGCTATTGAGAGAGCTGAGGATACCACTCCAAGGAGAATCCTAGTTCATTTACTCTATCCACTCTGCCTTCCAATAAGTTAGAGGGTTTAATACCAAGCTTGCCACATACTGACATTATTTCAGAAAGGTTTGCTGACATATTTTATAACCCATTGGAGTAAATTCAGAAAAAGTCACTTCAAAGGAAAACAATTGTTATTAGGTATACATACATATTTTTGCATGTCCACAGCTCCCAATTCAACTTTGTAATTTAACATTTGGACATAGGGCCCTATAGTTAGTATTCCTCAGTCTTTAGCACTTTAACAAAAACATGTTCACTAAATCAAGATGATGTTTAAGATAAGGGAGATGCACTTTAAGCTCAACCTCTTACATTTTAAAAATAAATTGTTCTTGTGACAGGACTAAACTAAAAGGCCTTGATGACTGTCCTGTTCTTCCCAACTCCACAACATGCTTTCTATAACAATTTGCGTGATTCATTGAACCAACCCGTACAATCAGTTTCATCTCTAAGGTGAGCACTCTCTCAAAAGGATCAGAGGAATAATGATAACTTCTCACTATTTTTAACTTTAAATAAAAAAGCAACACAAGGATAGAGGGATTGTGAGGCTAAACTCAGCATTATTAAGAGGCTTTGAGCTTTCTAGATACGTGTGCTATGCTTTCCAAGCTACACATGCACTGGATACAGCACACATTGTAACTGTAAAATTCTCCCAGCTCTGTCCAAGATGATGCTATACCAACCTGGAAGCAGCATTTCTAGCAGCTTGCAAGTGGTAAATTCCCTACATCTATTTGATCCCAGACCTTTCCACTGAGATTCCTTAGCACCAATTGTAATCATGCTTGTACACAAAACATGATTACTGACAGATTAAAAAACCCCACACATATGGTTATCAAGCAGTCTTCAGATGCAAATGCATCTGGACACTACTGGTCTGGATCAGAACTGACCGACTATGTTCAATGTAAAAGACTCTATAACCCAGAACTGTGTCTTTCAGCTATCTATTTTCCCAAGCTGAATTTATAGTTATGCTAGTTTTCTTTTCTTCTCTCCCCTCCACAGTTCAGAAGACACAAAAGGAACAATTTGTTTTACATCACTGCTCTTGGGTAGTTCTGTAATTTTTTGTTCTTAAAAGGGGAGACCATTTGCAACTGGGTGAAATTCTCCCTGCTTTAAAAAAGTATAGTAAAAGAGCTTATAGAAGGAACAAGGAAAAAAAGTATTTACCATCACTCAGAAGTCTTGCAGTGTCTGCATCATTATATGAGACTTCTTCATTTAGCTGAATAGGGCATCTAAATCTAAGCATCTTCAGCAAATAATGAATTCCATCATTAAGACACTAAAATATGACATACGAAGAAAAATTAAAAGAACCCATTTCATACAAGTTAGATGAACTGTAATTCAATTAATTTTGGACAGAATTATTTTCTGTTAAACATTTTATATCAAATAGGAGGCATGTTTCCAAGGCAGAAGTCATATATTTTTTTAAAGTTTATTAATCAGGATTCATAAATCCATGTAATTGATTTTTCCCCCCATCTGCAATATTCAGACACTTTACAATTATATTGCTTTATTTGTGACTTTAGAGCGGTCAATTTTGCTAGTTTAAATTGCTATTTTTGAGAGATTATATCTTTAAATTTTGCATGAGCTCAAATTTAATATACAGATTTATAAAGAGAGGATTTTCAGGTAGCCTTTTTATGTAGCTGCTGAAGAAAATTAAATATTCAACAAATAAATTACACTGAGGCCCAGAGCTCAATTTTTCTGAAAGTGCTCAGGTGACTTAGAATCTTATTTCTGAATGTGATTTAATATATTGCATCTAATAGAAAGTCGGTGGGATTTAACAGTCTACAAGCTAACGTATATAGGTTGGCTGCATCAGTACAAACTACAGCGTAAATTAAGCTGTTATAGCTATGCTAGTGTAACTTGTCAAGTACACACTTATTCCAATAAAATAATTTCTTTAATCAGTGTAGCTGACTACACATTGGAACAGGCTTAAAATAAGCAGAGGTCTCTACTCCTGTTCCAGAATGAAGGTGACCAGGAGGGGCTTATTACTGGAAGACCGACCAACCGACCGGTATAATGGTCTATTCACCAAAACAGGAAATCTTACAGTAGTTTAAAAAAAATCTGACATGCTTTGCAGATATTGTGATTTTGTCAAGAGCTGGGATCTAACTCAAAATGAAGAGCTTGTCTGAAGATCACTGGACCAGTGACTCTGTTATGATTCCAAGAAGTTTAAAGTGGAAGAGAAAAGGCTTTACCTTTTTAAACCATTCAGTGTTTTCTGTTAGCCATTCTCCCCTTTCTTTCACAGTGTGACAGTACATGTAGAGTAGGGCTCCTTTTCTCCAGTATAAACATTCTAACAACTCTATGCCAAGAACTTTCAGGGGCTGAAATAAAACCAAACATTTGCTAAGCCAAATGTAAACTTTTCAAGCCTTACAAAGAAAAATATAAAACGACTTTGTTTTAGCCCCATGACAAAAACAAATGAACAAGCAAACAACTATGTTGGTGTTTACTGTTTGTATTTACCTAGCTAAAAAAGCTGTCCGTGAATTCCAACTGGCCTAACTGGGAAAAGAACTGTAAGAGGTACCCTTCACTTCCACAGAGCTGCTTCTAACAATGGTCTGTGGACAACTCTCTCATACACACATATACAAATCAAAACTTTCTTAAACTTTCAGACTTTGAGGTTTAACCATCAAAAATTTAAAAAGTATGCTTTGCTTTTTTTAGTTAGTGAACATGCTTTCACAATTCAGCACTCACCTCCTGGTGCATATTGCTTTCCTTAACCACAATTTCTGGTTCTAAAAGAAGACTGATTAGTTCTTTAACTTTCTGTAAAGAAGACTCTTCTGGAAAATCTTCATTCACAAGCTTGTTCTCCTCAAAATATGTGATGTCCAACACAGCCTAAAAAAGAAAACATATAAAATGCTATCAATAAGAATATTCCAATAGATCATTACTCTTCATAAACAGTAAAATATGAGCCTGGATCTAACATAGCGATTTTTAAAGTTAATTCTTTGTAGCAATATTTAGATTAGAAAAATCATACAGACTTGAAATATGTAAAACTTAAGTTTGCAATAGTTTTAATCAATATAGACACTGCATGTGTGTGGCTACTGATAATGCTGGGGGTCACAGAAGTTACGTTCCATCTGTTGTGGCTAGTCTCCAGCCCAGACCACAACCCAGACAGGTGCTTTCTGAAAGTGCTCCTGACCACTGCACTGTGACTGGAGGCATCTAAGTAATAGGAACATGAAGGAACCCCTTACTGTCACAGCTCCTTTAATGAATTGAAAATTTGGGGAGTCCTTAGAGCAACTCTCTCGTTTAAATACAGTACCTGAGTATACAGCTGCAAGAGATATGAAGGATTTACATTTTCTTTATCTTCTCTGCAGAGGTCTTTCAATTTCTCCAGTGTCATGGAGCCATTTACTAAGAAACTATCTGTAGAGGGGGGAGAAGAGAGAGATTGGCTGGAGAAAGCCAGTTCTTAACCTTGAAGTGCAGGTCCCACAAATGATCTGGTTTCTAACTGAGGAGGCTTTAGGGTCCCCCGGGCCACGTGGATGTTGGTACTCGCAGAGTTTGGCTGCGGTGCCCACTGCATGATTGGATGCCTGCATGAACACTGCATGCCCCCAGAGGCCAGCGGTGGTGGCACTGTGGCGGCAGTGAGCTCCCTCAGGTAGCCCCGGCAGTGTCGGCAGGGGCAGGCTGAGCAGGGAGCTCCTGCAGGCAGCCGCAGTGGTGGGGAAGAGGGGGCTGAGCACCAACCGGCGGTTGACAATTACCCACAGATGCAGCTGGCCGCATATGTGGTGGAGGTGAGCTGGAACTGCCTGCAGACACTGCCGGCATTATCAATGGTGCTTTCTGCAAGGGGTGCATGGGGCCAGTCTCAGGGGGTGCACATGCCCCCCCTTGCCCCCCCCTACACATTGCCAATGGTGCCTGAGGGCATAGAGCCGACACTCCTGTGGCCGCAGGGGGTGGATGGGGGGGGACACAAGTCTGCAGGCCAAATTAGACCCACGTGCCAGTTCCTCATGGATCCAGCGAATGGGCAGGCTCCTGTCAGTAGGATCCGGCACCTGGGGATGGTCTGCAGGACAGGGCCAGCCCCCTGCCAGGGCGCAGGCACGGGTGCTATGCGGGCTGGATGCGGCCCGCGGGTCGTAGCTGCTCCGACCGCGCCCCCCGGACCCGGCGCCAGGCTCCGCGCGCGCTCACCGCCG